GGCCTACGACTTCAAAATTTCGATTTTAACGAGGCTCTGCTTGAGGAAGGTGAAAAACTTTCATTTTCGCTATCGCTTCCTTTCTCTCTCTTTCTCTCGCTCTCTCTCACGCACTCTCTCTCATTCTCACTCTCTCCCTCTGTTTTAGACACTGTAATTACTGTACCTTTTAGTGCACCCAAGCCTGATCACGCTCCTGAATTGGCATCTTCGCAGCGCAGAAAAGCGTGACAAAGAAATCGGCGAGATTCTGCGGAAGTCTCTCTGCTGGCGGTTCGCAATGTTTTTCCGCGATGATGATATCCCATTCGACCATGTGAAGATAATTTAAATACAATTTCTATTACTTTTAGCGTATTGCTCTGATTGACGCGGAACATTCCATGAATTCCACGATGATTACGCCCACCGTCGGATCGACTTCTTAATTTTGGCAATGTTTGTATCGGAATAAAAAATCCTTGGTTTGACCGATTGTACGCAGAATCCTACCTTATATAATTTTGGCGTATAACTGTGTGTGTGTGTGTGTGTGTGTGTGTGTGTGTGTGTGTGTGTGTGTGTGTGTGTGTGTGTGTGTGTGTGTGTGTGTGTGTGTGTGTGTGTGTGTGTGTGTGTGTGTGTGTGTGTGTGTGTGTGTGTGTGTGTGTGTGTGTGTGTGTGTGTGTGTGTGTGTGTGTGTGTGTGTGTGTGTGTGTGTGTGTGTGTGTGTGTGTGTGTGTGTGTGTGTGTGTGTGTGTGTGTGTGTGTGTGTGTGTGTGTGTTTTGTGTGTGTGTGTGTGTGTGTGTGTGTGTGTGTGTGTGTGTGTGTGTGTGTGTGTGTGTGTGTGTGTGTGTGTGTGTGTGTGTGTGTGTGTGTGTGTGTGTGTGTGTGTGTGTGTGTGTGTGTGTGTGTGTGTGTGTGTGTGTGTGTGTGTGTGTGTGTGTGTGTGTGTGTGTGTGTGTGTGTGTGTGTGTGTGTGTGTGTGTGTGTGTGTGTGTGTGTGTGTGTGTGTGTGTGTGTGTGTGTGTGTGTGTGTGTGTGTGTGTGTGTGTGTGTGTGTGTGTGTGTGTGTGTGTGTGTGTGTGTGTGTGTGTGTGTGTGTGTGTGTGGATGTCACCTTCGAGGCCCGATTTGAGGGCGTTCCCGTGCATAAAATGTCCTAATTCTTCGTCACTTGGGGTAATCGACTCTTCTGTTTCCGATGGCGTTCTCAGAATTTCGATAAAATACAAGTTTACAAAGTTAGAGCCGGTTTTTATTCATTTTTGGGGGTAATTTGCATAATGTGAAAAAATACAAATTTCCTCATTCTTGCCAGTTGCGCGCGGGCGTGTGGTGGGGGGGGGGGGGACCCGAGCTACCGGAAAGTCAAATTTCTCATGCAAACGCACCATTCCAGCGCCCAAGGCCCGCGAAGCGGGTTTTGGGCGCTGGTCATTTAATAATCTAGGTAACGTGCAATAAATGATAAAACGCTACGTTTTTAATAGATAATTCGGCATTTACACTAACCCCCCGTCTAGCTTCGAATTCCAACGAAAAACCCTCCAAAGACAAAGAAAAGATTGAAGAAAAGAAAGAAAAGAAAGAAGAAGTGTGTGTGTGTGTGTGTGTGTGTGTGTGTGTGTGTGTGTGTGTGTGTGTGTGTGTGTGGATGTCACCTTCGAGGCCCGATTTGAGGGCGTTCCCGTGCATAAAATGTCCTAATTCTTCGTCACTTGGGGTAATCGACTCTTCTGTTTCCGATGGCGTTCTCAGAATTTCGATAAAATACAAGTTTACAAAGTTAGAGCCGGTTTTTATTCATTTTTGGGGGTAATTTGCATAATGTGAAAAAATACAAATTTCCTCATTCTTGCCAGTTGCGCGCGGGCGTGTGGTGGGGGACCCGAGCTACCGGAAAGTCAAATTTCTCATGCAAACGCACCATTCCAGCGCCCAAGGCCCGCGAAGCGGGTTTTGGGCGCTGGTCATTTAATAATCTAGGTAACGTGCAATAAATGATAAAACGCTACGTTTTTAATAGATAATTCGGCATTTACACTAACCCCCCGTCTAGCTTCGAATTCCAACGAAAAACCCTCCAAAGACAAAGAAAAGATTTTTTGATGCCATAAACCCTGCCCTTTCTCAAAAATATTTGCTCTACTTTTCGCATTAGGTGATTCAACTGTTTCAATTCCGGGAGAGGCCGTCAAAATATCGAAAGGGAATTTATAACCCGGCTGGCAGCCCATCGCCACTTCTCAGAAAATGTTATTTTTCGTGGTCGCTGCCCTACTTCCGCTGCTCGTTTTAGCATCTGGTATCGATTATTAAACACATTAATAGTCGTGGCTAATCTAAAATAGGGCGAAAACTTTAGAACGAAACTGCTCGATCAGCGAGCCGTGGCGTTGCGACAGAATTGGCGAAACTACCCCCACACCGGCCAAAGAACGTTACTTTTTCCGAGACTGGTTCATGCAAACCGCATGGCATCATGTCTATAGTAAGTTTTGCTTATAAAAACGTAAGATGAGGCGGCGGAACCGTGTGCGCTCGTTGCGTGTCGGGTGCTACGCTCTCCTGCTTTCGCTAAGCATGAAAAAGGCCTCGCAGGGGCGTAACACATACGCATCGTGCATGCAGGCGTTTTCCTTAAATATCCCGCCCATCAGCTAAAATAGTTTATTATAGTGTGCCAGCCAGATGCCGTTTTCTGCCGTACTGTTGCCGACGTAAAGGAACAGCCAAAAGTCGGCTGCTACATGGACGCACAGATAGGACGTCAATCTGGGTGTGAATGCCGGGTTTTCACCAATTCGAGTGAGTTTCAGCTTATATTTCCGATCTCACAACAGCTTTATGTTCCATTTGGTTGCAATTTAGAAAATCGATTTATACGTGATTTTAGCCATTTTTTATCCATTTTTAGATAAGACCTCCCAACTTTGGGGAGCGCGACTCCGCGACTTTGATTTTGAGGCAGTTTTCGTTGAGGAAGGTGGGTATAAATAGATTAGCCCCTGAGCTTTCTAATTCTAGTAATTACCGTAATTTACTCACGCTTCAGTGCACCCGAACCTGATGAAGCTCTTGAATTGGCATCTCAGCATCCGTGAACCGACTGTAGGTTTTGAAAGGACGCGGAACTAAACCAAACTTAAGTTCCCCCTCTGTCACCGTAATTCGCTGTTTATCCGCGAAGACATGATGTCTTTCGAGGAGGTAAAAACGCTTCGTTAACGTTACGAACTAATATGCACTTTAGATGATCGCTTGGATCGACGCGGAAAAGGGGAAGAACGCCACGACGTTGGCTACCACAACTGGCTCTGATTTCTGAGGCACTTGAACAGCTGTGTGTGACCAAATATTAATTATTTTGGATACAAAATTAAATAAAATACTAATTTGTTACCGCAGATATCGTTAAATTCGGTCCAAGCATCTTTGAACAATGCGGCAGTGAGCAATCCAATTTTAGCCACGTTTCGCGGCTGGACCTATTGACTCTTGAAAAAATTCACACGCTGTTAATAAGTCTCTTCGATTCTTTTTCCAGAGAACAGAAGCACTCTATTGAAAATATTTGTCCCGGTACTCCGGCGTCGAGGTCGGCGCTAAAAGCTCTTTGGATGTGTAGCCGTCAACATAAAATCAATCGCACCTGGATTTAGATGAGAAAAATGGCCAAGGATTCACTTCCCAATTCGCCAAAACATGCTGGTTTTTGTTGCTTGGCTTTTACTAGTAGTAACGGTTCCAGCGTTTCAAGGTGGGTTTAGATTCATTAAGGTTATTCAGGTTGTTCCGGTTAGTCATTTTTCACTCTCCACTTTAGCACGGCACTGCTCGATCAGTGAGCCGACCCGGTGCGTCAAAGACAAGTACGATGGCACCGCTATCCATCCGAATGAGCGCTTCTTCTTCACCGACACCGATTTCCACACCTTGCGTGTTTACTGTGCGTTTACACATAAGATTTCAGTCTGATATAAAGCGTTTTAAATATCAAAAATCTTTTTTAGTATGCCAACCCTCCGAGGTGTTCTGCCTGACCTTCGCCGACATGACAAAGCAGCCAGGGCCTGGTTGCTATCTGGGACATCAGATCAACCGCACCGAGTCGCGATGCGAATGCCGGGTGTTTTCGGACTCAAGTTAGTCAAGCAGGCTTGGGTTTTGGTTTACCTAGGGTTAGGCTTTTCTTTTGACTTTCTTGCATTTAGCTTGAAATTCTGGACAAATTCCAGCTAACAAAAAGGTTTTGGAAAAAAGTTTCTCAAATTTTGTATATCGTTGCTTCAAAAGTAAAGCAGTCTCTTAACTTCAATATCAGCTCTTTCAAAGCAAATTTCCGCCCAAACTTCTATCCGTTCAGCGGTTTTTAGGGGGTGGGATTGGCTTCGAACCTAAACTTTGTCGAACGAGCTGCGTTGCGTCGCAAAACCTCAAGAAAAACACGATGTTTCTGAATCTAAGGCAAACCTTTGGCTTGATCATAGCTATAGCGTATAGGGCTCCCGGCTTTTTGGTTCAATTTGTAGTTTTGAGGTAGTCATTCTAGATAGCTTCAAATTGTAAAGAAATCGCGCTTTTCCAATAATCCCTGAACAACTAGGGCCTTGAAGAATAGTGGCGCCGAATGGGCGGATTTTGCTCATGCTCCTTGCTCACTTAACAAAATGTAAACTTTAAGAACTATTTTCCCGCGAACGATTATTGTCGAAATATCATGCTTTATCAAATGAGCTATGTTGCACAGCAAAACTTCAATATCCCTAAAATCACCCAAAGCCTAAGCCTAAGCTTAAAGGGCTAGTTCAGCGGATAAAACAAAAGAATTTCCGCGGCCAGGAGTCGAACCCGCTCTGCGTTTTTTTGTCTGCGCCTCTCTCATTTCCCCGATCTCTAATAGCTGTCGTAATGGGGGACTGTTCGGGCGCACTGTGGCTATGTCCGTAGTTTCCCAAGGTACCAGCCCAAGCTCTAAAAGTTGAACTAGCCCTTTAAGTCTAAAAAACGCTTATTGATGACTTCATATTCAGCCAAATCAGCAAAGCTCTCGGGTCTGCAGCTGCAAAACTTCGATTTTGAGCCAGTCAAAACTGAGGCTGGTAAGTTAATGATACTCGCAGATATCCATCCCAAATCGAACAATACCTTGTTATCTTTAGTGCATCCGGACTTGATGAAGGTCTTCAACTACTACTTGAAAAGGGAATCGATGCAATGGGTGAGATTTGAATTCAAGGTTTAGCCCAAGTTTTCATAGGCTTGTCGGCGGAATCGGACGTTTTTGCGAATGGTGGGTGATCGATTTGTACCGTACGCAGAAGTAGATAAGGTTGAAAAAAACGATTTTTCACCTATTAGTATAACTCTCCTAGATGTCGGGCCTCATCGATATGGAGTATAAGAAAAATTCAAACAAGACTGCTGTTGCGTTTTAAACAATTTCATTTTTTTATCCTGGACCGTGTTTTTCCATAAATAAAGAGATTGTTGCATTTTTGTAACCCAATCAGCTACAAATTCAATAGAAAACCGAGCAGAGCCCTTTAGGAAACAATAGCTTAAAAGTAAGATTGTGCTTCCACAGCCTGGCCTCCAAGCCGATAAAACGTGTCATAAAACCTTCTAAATTCTAAAAGCAAGCTAGCAAAGATTATTTGAGAACGGCCAAAAAAGAATCGCGTTCAATCCTTACCGGTCCCTTCAAAATGTCATTTTCCTAACCTGAAGCTCGGCATTTAAAATTCGGCAGGACCTGCAATTTACCTAGTTCTGAAGGGCAAGCTAGCAAAGATTCTTTGAGGATTATTGAAAAAAATAGTGTTCTTAGAAATTACCTTACCAGCCCCCTTAAATTCATATCCTTTGGCTTTCGTCCGCGCTCATCCTCACCCCAGTACCCGCATTTTATTACCCCCGTCCGCCCGAGGTAGTTATTCTCGAGAGGCCCGAGCCTCTTTTCCCCCACATCCCCCTATTCAAATAGCCTCGTATGCAAATCGGGCAACCTCAAAGCCCCGTTCCCACCTTCCGAACAACTTTTTTTTCGTCTCTCGGGCCTTCATAGGCGTAAGGTGCTAATTGGGCGTGAGGACCATAGCCTCCGCAGTGTGAATCCCCCCTTTAGCTAATCGAATAATAAAACCAGCATCATAATAGGCGATAGAAAAGGAGAGAGAAAGAGAGGGAGAGAGATGTGGAAAAACTTGGCACCTGTTGTTACCCGGGTGGCGGGCCGGTTTGTCGGGATTCCCTTTGAAAAATGCCGACGCGATGCCCTTGATAGAATTTGGCTAAGATGCCCCGAAGGCATTTTAGGCGCTAAATCGTGAGTATCGGTGGTGGATAGATTACTTGGGTGTTTTTGGGGGTTATCTCGGTGATCATAATGGACGACCTACCGTAGTATTTTCGAGGTTTTGAGAAATTTCAAGATAGCGATTGATTGATTTCGGAAGTTTTTTTACAGCTAGTTACCTACAATTTAAATTACGTTTTTATATACAAATGTCATTTAGAGAATCCCAAATTTTTAAACTTGTTTTTTGAAAGATCCATAGCTCAAAATATTTTAGTTTAATATGTTTTAAATGGTAATAACCAAAATGGGCAGATTATTTATTAATGTGTTATATGGTTCGAAATCAATAAATTTAAATTAAAAAAATTTTTAATGTACTGTAAACAAAACGGCGAATTAAATGAATTTTCAACAGAATTCATGCTTATTTAGTGATTCATGACTTAATTTATGCATAAGGTAACTAAGAGATCGAAAGGGTTACATAAAATAAACATATCTTGAATCCATCTTAATCGATCAAAAATTAAAAACCTAAATTAAAAATAAAGCAGTAAATCTGTTGAAATTTCACGATGTTTTAAATTCTTGGACTCTAATTTTTCCATTTTTGTCTGATACAGGAAGGTTCGAATTGGTTTCTGTACAGCAATTTCCTAGTCAATTATCCACTTACCCCTCTCAAAATTCCCCGCACCTCAAAGGGGCCCTATTGTGGTTTGGCGGCTTCTCAGAGGAAGAGAGCGGCCTTTAGGTATAGAAGGTGATCAATTATTGTAATGTGTCCGGGGTAAGCGAGAGAGAGAGAGAGAGAGAGAGGGAGAGAGAGATGATCTCCCTCCTGCGGCTTCTCCCTGTCAATCATATCCGGCTGGTTGATGGGTGTGCGGTATGGCAGTTAAGCAGGGGTCGTTTTGGAAACAGCCACCGACTCCGTTTCCATACAATCCCACAACAAGTGCTCCCTTCCCTTGGCCAGGTGGTCCTCCCGGCTGTCGGTCAAAAATTAGTGATTTTTTTGGGGCTACCGTAGTAGATCACGCGAGCGTATTAAAGTTGAAAAGGCAGACTAGCGGGCATTATTGAGGAATTCAGCTTTTTGATAGTTTGGCCTTAAAAAAAATTTAAAGCGCACGCTCAGGGAGGGGCCGTGTACTCGTCCCAACGTGTACACCCTATGGACGTAGGGCCCGCGCGCGCTGTCTGCCCGTGCCGTGGGAGGCGATTCCCCTCCTTTGCGGGGTGGGGCACTCCTCGACCCCTCGCGAGTTTGCACCCGTGGCTTATTGGTATGCTCCCGCGCCGCCCGGACGGGGGACCCGGGTTCGACCGCCCGCGGCCAAAATGTTTGCTTTCTTTCCCAAAAAGGTCCCTGAACGTGCCCTGAAGGGCCTAAAAATTCAAAATCTGTTGTAATGCTTGATTTCGAGTTTAAAGGTCCAACTTAGGCGCATTAATGAAAGAACATATTTGAACGAATTTCTGCTAGTTTGCCCTACTAAAATTTATATATTGAAAATTCTAAAAATGTGCGCAAAGATCCGGAAATTGTATTTACTGCACCGCGCGGGGCTTCAAGGTTTACGCTGCCGGTTTTTCCGGATTCGTTCCGGCGTGTGGGGCTACATTGAGAACACCCGGAAGCCTGAAGCTGGCAAAAGGGCTTCAGGATTTTATGGTTTCGTTTACATCTGCAAAACGCTGGAAATAACTTAACTCTCTCTCGCTCTCTCTCGCCCTCTTTCTCCCTCTCTCCCTCTATCGCTCCCTCTCTCTCTATCGCTCTCTCTCGCCCTCTCTCTACCGCATTTCCAATTTTTTCTATTTTTGCCTTGTGACTGTTGGTGGTAACTCGTGTAATCTTGGTAATATATGGCGTCAGGGAAGCCGACAAACGCGAAAAACCCTAGGCCGGATTTTCCCCCGTGTTATAAAAAGCAATATTCCGCGCGGATACCCCTTTACCCGGCGGCTACGGTAGGTCATTTTTGATGCCAAACATCGAATTAGACGAGGACGAGTCGTGTTGGGGGCATGGCCGGGGATTAGTGCCGGATTTGTGAGAGCGAGTGAAAATAAATATATTTCCGTCATAAGGAATGTTATGGAGTGGATGGATCGTGGATGAATGATGACTTCTTCTGAGGTAGGGGGGATTTACCCCCGCGTGTCCATTGTACTGCTGTGGAAAAATAGAAAAAATTGTAAATAGCGTGACTATGGCGTGAGGGGAATGAAATCGTGATTTTAAGGGGATTGTGGGATGAGATTTTACAGGTCAAATTTTATTCTGCAAAAACCGCAAAAACGAGTATGCGCACACGACCCGTAAATCCTCGCTTTTGGCAGCCCGCACCGTGAAAAACATCGAAATGCCGACAACCAACTCGACGACAGCGAAATCCGACAGCCAAAATCTCGACAGTGAAACGCCTGACTGTAAATGCCGACAGCTAAAATCCCGAGAACGGAAATCTGGACAGCTAAGCCCCGAGATCCCAAAATACCGACAACTCAATTCCAGGTAGCCCAAAACCCCGACAGCCGTAATAGCGACATGCAGAATCGACGCTTAAGAGAAGGTAGCATTTAAAATAGCGCCGAGAGTATGTCGGCATTTTGGCTGTCAGCATTCTGGTTGTCGACATTTAGGCCTGTCGGTATTATTGATGGACGTCGGGAAAGGGTGCTGCAGGATGACTCAAGGGTCGAAAGGCGAGCTAGCAGAGATCATTTAGGGCGTTTTAGTGAAAGATTTATGCAGCTCAGAGCTTCAAAAGCCTGGTTTTGACAACAAGTTCAGACTACATAGGCTTCTAAGCTGCTTTGATAAACCCAGAAACCCCTTGCTGATCTATTTGAATCACCCTGAAGTTCTGGTCAAGTCAGTCAGTCAAGTCAGAATTTCTCAAAATCCCCCAAATTCCACCATAGAACAACTGCCGGCTGAACTTGCTGGAAATCCTGGCAATCCCTAAGATCGCCTTTTTGCAAAGAATTCGTTTAATATAATGGTCTAGAAGCTTTTGTAAGTCTTTGGTTATAACTGGGGCTGAGCCTTTGTTATTGCCAAAAAGTAACAGGGGGTGAAAGAGGATAATCTCGCTTTTTCATTTTCTCATTCTTTCTCTCTCTCTCTCACCCCCTCTCTCTCGCTCTCTCGCTTTGGTTTATATCGGCTTTCGAGATCGATGTTAAATAACAGCGACTTATGCCCCCCGGGGATACGATACAAATTCTTACGGATTTCTGGGGTGGGATTTATAATATTAACCAGCGCCCAAAACCCGCTTCGCGGGCCTTGGGCGCTGGAATGCGGCCTTTGCATGATAAATTTGACTTTCCGACAGCTCGGGTCCTGCGGACCCCCCCCCCCACCACACGCGCGCGTGCAACTCGCAATAATGAGGGAATTTCTTATTTTTCACATTATGCAAATTAGCCCTCCCGGCCCCCCAAAAATCAATAAAACCGGCTTTAACTTTGTAAACTTGTATTTTATGAAAATTTTGAGAACGCCATCGGAAACAGAAGGGTCTATTTCCCCGGATGACGGAGAATTAGGGCATTTTGGACACGGGAAGGCCCTCAAATCGGGCCTCGAAAGTGACATCCACACACACCCACAGAGATACACTCCAAAATTATATAAGGTAGGATCCCACAAAAGTACGTCTAGTAATTTCTGAGATTACGGTATTTTTACGTTCTTAAATATCCTATGTCGTCTGTTCTTAAATTTTTAGTAGTTTTAGCTTTAGTTATAAAATTTTTTGTAGTTTTTTCTTGAGTTCGTAACACTGGTTTTTGCAGCAGAAAAACCTTGTCGCTAATGTTCCAAAAATCACCCAGCCCAAACACTGCAAATCTCGCCAATTTCCGGTTGCTAACAATATACCCATTAATTCGTGGGGGTAAACAGACATGTTTCCACCTGCACTCACAAGAATTCCGCTAAAATTAGAAGCCTGCAACTGCTCCCACTCGACTGATTTCCGGGTCCAGTGGGTTGGATTCTGATCCCTTGGCAGACTTGCAGGGAGATTTAGGATCTTTGAAAAGGGGGAAGCTAGCAGAAAAAATTGGAAATTTGGTTTCTCGTGACCCAACCCCAAATAGCCTCACCAAGTTTAG